GAGGAGGAGGAGGAGGAGGAGGAGGAGGAGGCAGCTGGTTGCCCCTGGGGGAACACGGCCTAGCTCTCTGCCCTGTGATTGTCACCCTGCGGGTCCCAGGCCCACAGTGGGTTGAGCTCGGACTGGCTCTGGAGAGCCCCCACCCTGCAACCGCAGCCTGCAGCCCAGTCGGCCGGCTCTGGGCCCATCTTCCAGCACAGTGTTGGATGGTCTGACCGTGAAGCTCCTAACACTGTCTGGTAAAGATGGCTCCCGGGCCGGTGCCCTCAGCACTGACCTCCAAGGAGCCCTATCGCCTCTGACCGTTACCCCTGTAGGTGAAGCACTAGGAGGAGGGGCCAATGGGAAGGAGACAAAATGGCTGCCTGGAGCAGCAGCAGGCTGGACGCAGACCTGTCCCTCAGCTCCTCCACGGTGCTCCCTGAGCCAGCGGGGGGCTCATCTGGGTCCGCCTCACCTGAGGCTTCCTGGAACCCAGAAAAGTGGCCACCACACCTGTTTCGAGTCCCTCCTTTCCTGACATTCAACGCACAGAGTGGAGAGAAACAAGCCTGCTTCCTTCAGCAAGCTAAGAAGCCGGGTGTTGATCTTCGCACCCCTCCTCCCTGCCAGGCCCCTTGGGTCCCAGTGCCCCAGGACACTGGAGGGGTGACCGCAGGAGCCAGAAGCCCCTTGTCCCTTCGGGGTGGCCTGGAGCCCAGTGGGTTTTGTACCCCCCCACCCAGGGAAGCCCGTGGTCGCCCACTGCCGAGGTGGCAGCTCCTTGGGGGTGGGGGTCGGGGTCATCAGCTCCACTCTGGCTCAGCAAGGCTGCAGCTGCTCCAGCCCTAAACACAACATTGGACCCTGGGGCTCCGGCCCCACATCCGGCCCAGCGGCGCAGCGCCCCCTGCTGGCAGCTGGGAGATGAAGCGCGCAGGCGGGACTCAGGCGGATATGGAAAACTCTGACCCCGACTTTCAGTAATAAAAGTTTATTGACAATTCCTTGGGTGGCAGTTATCTCCTTCCACCTGGAGGAAGGGAGCAACACTGTAGCAAGTCACTGAGAAATCACACTGTCTCGACACCCGGCCACTCAGGAGAGGGTGGTCACCCCCAAAGGTCGCCTTCTGTCTTCTCCCTGTGGATGCGGCGCTGGAACCTGGGCTGTGGCTCAGAATCCAGAGAAGCAGCCTTTCCTTTGGGGTGGCCGGAGGACTCACTTCTTCCCCTTGATGAGACTGTCGCTGTGAGGGGGTCAGAGGGGTGAGCTGCGGGCTCCTATGCAAGGTGGGGAGGAGGTCCCGCAGGGCCCAGAGAGCAGGATCGCACACAACTCACCTTCCCCTGTGACAGCAGTCGCCAGGCGGGCAGGGAAAGAGACTCACATGACCCTCAGCTCAGGCCCCACTTCCCGGGTGCTGCCACGCAGCAGTTCCGGGCCAGCGCCTCTTCCACCACATCAGGGCAGACACACATTTGCCAGTAAAGCTCGTTACGGGGTAGAGTCAGCCCTACTGGACGCAAGACAGGAAGCGCAGCCCCCTCGCGCCCCTCGTCCCCACACAGAGGTCTATCCCATCACATGAGTGACTCAGTGACTAGACTCACGCCTGGGCCCCTCACTGAGCCCTGCTCACCGCGTGAAGCTCTCATCCTGGAGGTTTAGCACGAGGTTGTCAGCAGTGAGATAGATGCGATTCTGGGATGTGGCGATCTGCAGGATGGTGAGAGAGCCTGAGTTAGCATAGCCCTCAGAGCCAGGTGTGGCGCACGCACCTGTGCTCTCAGCCCACTGGCAGGCTGAGGCAGGAGGATCCCAAGTTGAACCCAGTCTGCCAACTTGGTGAGACTGCTGTCCCCGCCTGCCAAAGGGTTGGCAATATAGCTCAGTGCCAGGGAACAAAAAGCCCTGGATTGCATGGTGGTGCACACCTGTAATCCCAGCACTCAGAGAGGCTGAGGCAGGAGGATCACTGTGAGTTGAGACCAGCTTGGGCTACATAGTGAGTTCCAGGTCAGTCTCAACTACATAGTGAGACCCTGTCTCAAAAACAAAAAAACAAAACAAAAAAAAAAAAACCTGAGCAGGTGACAGTTTTGCAGTGTGTTAGTGAGGACACTTTCACTCCAAGGTGCCAGGCTGGGCAGGGGCTCTCACCGTCTTGGAGATGTTCTGGGCTGCCCGGATCTTGCGGAGTTTGATGTAGCCAGGGTTCTTGCTCAGGGCTTCTCCAAGGTGCGCAGGCTCGTTAAGGGTCCACACACCAGGCCTGACCTCAGCCCGCCCCTCCACACCCCTCCATCCTTTGGCCCGTCAGATCCAAGCTTGTGCTCATGCGGCTTCTGCCCACCCCCACCCCACCAAGGCCAGCAGTGCTATGGACCCGGCCTTACGGCAGGGAGCCCGGCCTCAGGTGTCCCCTCCGAGACTCCGGATCCCCCCACAGCCCCACTGCGGGCCCGGGCAGAGCCGGAGTCACATTCGCCTTGGTCTCATCATCTGGCCCAGCGGTGTGCAGGCCGGGAGGGCACCTGGTGGCAGGATATCATCTTGGCGGCCTCCGCCTCACCCTCTGCCTGCACGATCTTTTGCCGCTGTTCCTGCTTAGCCTTTTCCACCAAGAACTGGGCCCGCTGGGCCTCCTGCTGGGCTGTGACAGGACAGAGTCAGGAGCTAGGGACGTGACCGGGACCTTTGAGGCAGATGGACGCGCCTGGCCCTCCCGCGACTCACCCACTTGCTTGGCTTCCACGGCGGCTGTGTACTCCCGGCTGAAGCTCAGCTCTGTGATGGCAACATCATCCAAGATGAGGCTGAAGTCCTTGGCCCTCTCAGTCAGCTCACGGCGGATCAGCAGGGACACCTGGGGGCAGGGAGGTGGTCTCAGGGGCTTGGAGAACTGGAAGGAAGGCTGTGTGCCTGATGCCAGAACCCAAGGATGGTGGACACTCAGCCCGGTTTATTTTCCCAGATGCTCACTAGGCTGCCTGAGTGGGCCGGGGCTTGGTTCAGTCTTTTGAGAGGTAGATGACACAGCCTCAGCGAGGTGGTCTCACTGCCCCAAGCAACTCTACTAATCCTCCACCCCTTCCAGGATAAGCAGCATCTCAGTTTCAACCAGGCAAGTCCAGAGGTGGAAGAACACCTGGGCTTCGTCACTGCCTTCTCCCAAGCTTCCTTCCTAACCCGGATCGCGATGAGCTTCTGGTGCTGGTTCTCCTACCCTACCAGTGGCAATCAGCATCACCTTGAATGGAAATGGAGCCAGGACGCCAGCTCACTGCCTGCACAGGGGGTGGGGGATCAGACCTGGGCCCGCTGGGTGATCAGCTGCGAGGCATTGAACTTGGCCACCACGCTCTTGAGCACCTCGTTGACGATGGACGGCAGCACTCGCTCCTCATAGTCCAGCCCCAGGCGCTGGTACATGCTGGGGAGCTCCTGGGCATTGGGCCGAGACAGTACGCGCAGGGAGATGTTCACCATCTGCAGGTCTGAGGCAGAGGCCAGCAGGGGCTGGTCAGGGGCCCCCTTTGCCCCACATTCTCCTCCCCGTGCTTCTAAGACAGTGGAGGCAAACCCATGGCACTACTGGAAATTCAAGAAAGCTCTATTATCTAGAAAAGTAAATTCTATGACCTGCGTGCACTTGAGAAGCTAGAGTGTGAAGGGAGGACTAAGGATGCACAGCGCAGTGGGTAGTTCTGAAATCCTCGTGGATTCTCTGCCAAGCAACTTTAAGGCAATAGGAGCACTCAGGATTGCTCTTCTTACTTTGTTTGGATTATGTTATGCTTGTGAGCAGGTGAATTGTATCAAATCCAATAAAAGAAACAGACTAACAGATGACCGGAGTGTTGCTCTTGAGCTCAGTGTGCGCCAAGGTTTGACAGATTACCAGAGTGCACACAGCACCGTGCAAAAGCGTGCCAAACCAAACTTACTTTTTTTTTTGGTACCGGGGATTAAACTCAGGACCTTGTGCTGTGAGGCAGGTGGTGGAACCACTGAGATAAATTCCCAGCCCTCAAACTTACTTTTTGATAAAAAGTGGTATCATCGAGAGCTGTTACCGTGTTTTTCTTTTAAGACAAAAGATGTCAATGTAGGAATTTTTTCTTAATGGAAACCTCTACTCTGGTTTAAGTGGAGTGTTGGCACTTTGCAAGAAGTGGGTTCTGGGTTGCAGTTTGGGCTCTCAGTCTCTAAAAGGTTCGCCATTGCTGCTCTAAGCCCAGTACAAGGCCGCACAGCATAGCACGTCCTTGGGGAGGACACTCATCAGGTTCATATCTGTGACAAAGCACAGGAGAAATGGATCCTTGTGCACCGTGAAGTCCTCACTTACACAGTCCTCCACTAGGACAGTGGATGCCTGCCTTTGTCCCTGGACCTGTACAATCTCTAATTCGAGCTCTGTCACAGAGGATCACAATCACCTGTCTCCTTTCCTAGATTACAGGAAGCTAAGGACAAGGACTGTGCTTTGATAATGTGAACTGAACCCAGGGTCTTTGCATTGAGCTTCAGGCTCTCTTATTTTATGCTTTTTTTTTTTTTTTTGGTTTTTTGAGACAGGGTCTCACTATGTAGTTGAGACTGCTCTGGAACTGTGTAGCCCAGGCTGATCTTGAACTCGCAGTGATCCTCCTGCCTCAGCCTCCCGAGTGCTGGGATTACAGGTGTGCGCCACCACACCTGGCTCTTATTTTATGTTTTTTGAGACAGTCTTGCTGAATTTTAAACTGCCCAGATTGGGCCTGAACTTGCAACCCTCTTACCTCAGCCTCCTAGAGTGCTGGGGTAACAGGTGTGCACCACTACACCCAGCAAGGATTATTTTATGGATCCATTTTTCTGAGGGCCTAGGGCTGCAGAGTACAAAGAAGCACATTATGGGTTACAGTGAGCTACTTGCAGCAGTATGTACAGGCACGTGTTAACGTGAGAGAAAGAGCTGGGACTGGAGTCTCAGGGGCACGGTTTTAGGTGTGGACTGCGAGGAGAGCTATCTTAGAGTGGAAACAAGCTTCTCCAAGAGAGGCTATGCCAGTAACTGAATTAATAACTCAGAACAGAAAAAGGCTTTAAAAACAAGGCTTTGACCTGAACAGTGACTTTAAAAAAAAGGGGGCAAACAATATTCTTGTTTTGTTTACATTAGGGTAGGCCGACTGAAAACGCAGGGCAGGAATGTACTGCTTCAGCCTCAGGACCCAGGATCTTTTGCAGACAGGGAAAGCAAACCAATGGACCCCGCGCTACGATCTTCCCCGTGGCCGTGTCCCTTGTTTACCTGCCATGTGACTTCAGGTGCCCATGCTTACCTTTGGAGCCTGTGGGGGAGGAGATTTTTCGGGGTCTGGCCCGAATATCATAGATAATGGGGTACTGGAACCAGGGGATCCTAGAAAGGAGAGGGCAGGGGGAGGAATTAGGACCCTGTAGTTTGGCTAACTCCGTCCAGCTCGCCTTCACCACTTGCTTGTGGTTTGGTCCTCCTGACTAGAACCGTGCAGCAGCACCCACTGTCTTGGAGCGGGCGGGGGTGAAAGCCCAGAGTCAGCCTGCTCTGCCCACCGTTACCTGAAGTGAAGACCCTCGGCCAGGATGGTGTCCTGCTGCACGCCACCGATCCGGTTAAAGAAGATGGCTCGATGGCCGCCTTCCACTGTGGAGAGAGGGGCAGGCTCAGCCCAGGGCCGGGACCTGGCAGGGGCTCGGGGCGGGGCGGCAGCGAGCAGGAGGAGGCTGCTCACCGGTGAACACGGACTCGCGGACGCCAT